CGGCAAGTACAGCCTCTTCGCCGCTCCGTTGCGTCCTACGAGACATCAGGACGTTTCACTCGTTTGTAACGGCGTGACTCCGTGTACTTCATATCACGTTACATTCAACAAGATCCCTATAATAATTTCGACGGTGACGCATTTAGGATGACGTATTTTATATATTTAAAATAAGTAACTAAAACCCATAATAATAATAATAATAATAATAATAATAATAATAATAATAATAATAATAATAGAATTAATAAAAGGACTGTAATTTATTTCCAAGGTTCTGGATATTCCAAGCAAGATGTCATAAGATTCATAGGAAGAAGATCAAACAATGGAAGGCGATGTCAAAACTAGTAATACCCATAAAACGATTTATTCTTATCACTCAATTCGGACCCCAAGATGACTAGACGCAAACAAGTTGTAATTACACGAATTAGAACCGGACATTCTAAAATTACACACAGATAATTGCTGGAAAATACCTCACCACAACTATTTGACATGTGTAAGGTAACACACTCACAAATATGATCACATTATAATTATATTTCTTAATTTCTGTAAACACCTGCTATAAATCATTGTAGTCGCTAATAACCTTGGTCATTGATGCGACTAAAAATAAAGACGAAAAACAACTACAAGGTATCATTAGTGAACTGTTACTAAATAAGACGAAGAAAATAAAATTTTAACTCTCATACTGCTATATTTAAAAAGAAAAATCTGAGCTAGTGTATACCAAACGTGTGAATGGCAACATAATACATAAAAGAGCTGATATAGTCACGAAATGTTATCCTACAATCACATTGCATTGCGATATCATTCTTTGTATGATTTTAGGTGGATACAGATTACCCGCAGGCTGCAACGTTGCCATTCGCATCTACTTGGTGCACCGGAACCCAGAGTACTTCCCTGAGCCAGACAAGTTCAATCCGGACCACTTCCTCCCAGAGCGGGTGCAGGGCCGCCACCCTTACGCCTACATCCCCTTCAGCGCAGGATCCAGGAATTGCATCGGTGAGTGCGCAGTGCAGGTTGGCGATATTTGTATGTGAAAAATAATAGGATTTAGGAGAAAACTAGTGTGTGGTTTACAAATTATAGAGTGGTCTATTCAGATTTAAGACATCAAAATATTCCGAGAAAATGGCATCGTGGAGAAAAAGGTTTGAAATAAAATATTGTTTTGGGAGGGTCACTTTTGTACTATCACTAACTATCCCACCATTACCCACAGTATGCCTTGGGAAGGTGGTAGCTGAACCTTTAATAGGGAAACTTCAGGGTTGTTGTTTTTTCATTGGAAATTTTGGAACATTGAATCAAAATAGGTCACTCCGGTTCGAAACTTTTTTCAATTTCCGATAGGTGACGTAATAAATTAATATTTAAAAGTCCCCTGAAGTTCCTTCTATTGGGTACAGATATTCCCGATAGAAATGGAAAATGCAGAATATCAAAATCTTGAAAGTTTCAGGAAATATGAAGATACAAACGTTCATCATTTCGCGTTCATACTATTATTCACCTTCCAATCGAAATTCTTGTCTTCTCTACTCACAAAGAGCTCCTCTTACAGGCCAGAAGTTCGCGATGTTGGAGGAGAAGGCGGTTCTGTCCACACTTCTACGCCGCTACTCCTTCCGCGCTGTGGACAAGCAAGAGGACCTCAAGTTGTTAAGCGAACTCGTTCTGCGGCCCAGCAATGGCATTCGCATCAAGATCCAGCGCAGACATCAGTATCAGAAGTCAGCCTAAATGTTGTAACCTTTACCATCTCCTTTTTTAAGCAGTTTGTCCTAAGATTGGTCATGGATTCAGTTAAACAAAATCCCTCAATTATAACAATATAAGGTGCATTGTAATAACATTTTGCGGCATTACGCCATGTACACATTTACATGCATTAAATTACCTGTCTGGTTATTTTTATGTTTATTTTCCTCTCAAGTGTGTACAGAACGTGTTGGGCGACGACGAACATTTAAATGCAATTGAAACAAAAAGCTCCTCTTTGTTTACTGTGTTTTCTGTGTTTTTTTTACTAATCGCCCGGATATGAGAAAAGAATATAGTAATGCAATTAGGTAATATATTATACTAGTAAAAACAGGCGTCGCCGACGCTGTAAACCGTTTTAAAAATAGTTACAAGTGTTGAAAATTTATTTCATTCCCAGCCTTGTTGAAAGATGTTCTTTCAGTATCATCCATCACTCGTAGTAGCTGATAATGTTATACTCCCCTTCGAAAGTTCTTAACATCCAATAGTACCGTGTGTTATCTCCATACGGGATATAAGCTGGTCTTATTGGAATTTCAAAATTATAATCACTGTAACAAACACTTGCAGATTGTGATGCTAATGTTTAAATTTTATTACATCTACATTTTTATGCTTTTTTGCTAATACGCACAAAAATGCACATAGCACATTTGAATTAGCACAAATCCAAAATATACAAATGCAGATCATTCCCAATTAGTTGCGAATATTCTGACGCAACGTCTTTTACAACTACATTTGATTCTTCCCCGGATTTTCTTAACTCATCCATATTTTTCTCCCCTAATTTTTGAAGAGATTGAAACTTCACAAGCTTATTTGTGTTCACTTCTACTTCTGAAATTGCTCTATTATTCGTTTTGTATGCGAATCTAGCGTTGTATACAAATCTAACATTAAAATGTGGCTGTTTTGTATGTTTATGTAAATAAGGTGTTAGTTAAGTTTAATAAACATAAGTTGTGAGTCACATTCACCTAAAATTCGGTATTTGCACAGTTATGTAAGAACGTAAAAATGAGAAGTCCAACATAAAGATAATTCATTCTCTAGTATTACTCACAGTTCAGTATTCTACGTATTCTATTGAAATTCGTAAAGTTTAATAAGTTTAGAGGCAATACTGTTCGCAAATAAGTTTTAGCAAATTACTTTTTTTAATACATTAATTCGAATCTAAATTCAAATTAATCTGCAGCTCTATTTACTTGGTAACTCAATTATTTACTTAAAGATATCAACTTCAGTGTTTCCAATGTCGTGAAAGTAAAATATGGTATATTTTGCTAAACATTAGTTTGGTTATGGATGTTTAATCAATGCTAACCACATATATCGATTTAGAAAGCGTTGGTTTAATTCCTGGCATTATCCCTAAGATCGCAGCGCCAAAACCCGAAAAAACACGTTTTTGGGAATTTCTTAGAATCACATGGCCATATCCGAAAACAAATTATCAGTTCCCCATTAGGTGACCAAGACGTGTCGAATAGCATCTCATTCGTCTCGATTGGTGCACGGGAGGTGGTCTAGCCGCAAGTGACGGAATCTCACACATCTGTACATCCGCACATCTGCACACTCAATACTCGAATGTTGCATACTGATTTTCTGATTAACGTGGACTGCCAAATTTGTGCAAGGGGCCTTCCTGAAAAGGATGTACACAAGAACTTTAATATCACGATGCAACGTCGTTATATGTACTATTCGAAGGTAATGTCTTTATGAAATACCTTCTCTTTGATTTTTTTGAACACTATTAGCGCTAATAATATAGCGCGCGTGATACAAATTAACGTCTTATCTGGAGGTCTACGAAATTTATTTCGCGAGCCACCAATTATTCTTCAAATTTTGCATAAATTCAGTGCAGAGTCACACGATGTAACCTGTAATTTTGCAACCCGTATTTTTTGTAACCACCTTGTAAACCCATGTAACCTGCGTTTTTGTTGTTGTGAACAAATAATCAAAATCTGTTGAAAGTCACACAATATCCTTCTTTTTCCCATGGCGAGAATGAATATCCGCTGCGGTACTATGACTTATCTTCTCAGTTCCTAGTTTTTTATCTCGTTTATCAAATGCTTTACTTTCTCATCCTATATTTCTGGGACTTCTTGCATTCTGTTTAATGTGCATCGAATTTCAGTGTGCTGGACTTTTTTATTTATAGGCTGATTTCAATCAAACATTTAAATAAATGTTTAAATTCACCGAAATACATAAATAAACAAAATAAACGAAATAAACGAAATAAACGAAATAAACGAAATAAACGAAATAAACGAAATAAACGAAATAAACGAAACAAACGAAACAAACGAAACAAACGAAACAAACGAAACAAACGAAACAAACGAAACAAACGAAATCAACGAAATCAACGAAATAAACGAAATAAACGAAATAAACGAAATAATCGAAATAAACAAAATAAATAAAATAGTCTTTATTGATGGCGAGGCTCAGGCCATTTAGCCCGCTCTTCCGCCTGACCATTCAGGCGGAAAGTTCATCAAATGACACTAAACACGTGCGCCTAACCTTATTCAGATTCCGTTCCGGGCTTGGGTAGCGCTTTGTGGGCTGGCGCTGCCTCCGGCTCTGCCAGGAAACCGCAGGAATGCGTCAATTACGCCCGCAGGGCGGTGCGATTACGCGGGCACGACATGCAAGTCATCTGCCACGGACTGACTCCGGGCCACCATTGCACTCTACAGCTAACACTCTTGCTTCCAGTACCACTGAAGCCAACAATCTTATTACGATATTCATGAAATTCTGCAAGTTCGATTACATCTGTTGCCTGCCTCTGAACGACAGATACTAGGACTCGAGTTATCATGGCGGCGGAGATTTTTGCACTAGTTACATACTAGCTCAGTTCAATGCAATCACGGTTTAGAGAAGAATTCTAGCGGCCGACGATTCTGATCGATAGTTTTCCACGAAACGTCAGATCAATTCCAGGCGAATGCCAGACCAATACCGTAACGAGCCGGTCAGGGAGCGCGTGCAATATTTCCTCACTCATCCTTTTACCTCATCTCCGCTTTCACGCATCCTTACATTTCCATTCTCTATATTAATTGAATTGAATTGAATTTTTGCCTTATTTTACGTGGCGAGTGCCGGGCCGTTAGGCCTGCTCTTCCGTCTGACCACGCAAATTTCGCATACGCTCCTTTCACCAACTGGCGGAGAAAGGTGGTATCTCTTGGGCGACGAAACAGGCGATTTGAATTTAACTAAGATCACTCACTTAGGCTTGACCCTTTACATACAGTAAATCTACTGACATGGGACAGCCGGCTTTACTTCTCCTCCGAAAAAGGCGTACGAAGGATTTTTTTCGCCCTAAAAAGCCACGTCTTCGATCGGGTTTCAATCCACCTTTACACCATGCCAAACATGTTCACAATTATCACACATGTCGGGAGATCAGACGAGAACTTAGAGCTTGTCCCGGCTGGGGCGGTGCCCCCCTGGTGGGAGATACCTAGAGGAGGAATCCCACAAGCTGACGATGCGATATCTCACGTTCCTGAGGTGGATGATCACCCACCTTTCGAGATAGAACTAGCGTTTCACTAGCGGGACTAACGACTAGGGGGCGTATTTTAATTCTTTTTTTTATTACTTTAGAACGATGTCTTTTAGTATAGACATTAATTTTATGTTGTAAGTCATGAAAAAAAGAAATGATTCACCTTTAAATGACTTTTTTTTCATTTTTCTTTGATTTCGACTAATAAATAATTTTTTGTCATTTCTAAAGCATTTTGTGCGTATTTCTTCGATTTTAAAATCATTTTAATGGTACTTGCATCAAACAATAATTACGAGATGCAACAATTGTTCTTCACAGAATTATTCAATAGCCTTTTCAATTTCTTTGCTCAGAAATGTTAATGTCATCAGTTGTATGTAATCTAAAATTCCTGTGACGCCCTAAAGGCAAAGATTGCCTGGTGCCAAACCAAAAGTTTGCGCAAGCTGAGTTCACTTGAACGAAAGCAAGAAGCCTCGATTACATCAGTAACTTATCCAACAGCTTTAGATATTTATCTGAAGTGGTTGTGATTCATTTTTCTTTGTTTTTGGGCATTCAAAAAATTAAGATAATTTTATTGATCATTTTTTATGATGTTGTAGGTCATCAACATCCGACCTCTAGGAATGACCAAATCAGTTGACACGTTCAAAATCACAATATAATGTATCAATCAATCGATCGAGTACGTATATAATAGGTTTTTACGACCTTAATTCCTGTAATGGTTGATGCAATTGCCATCGCCACTGGTCCTCGACACAAAATGAGAGCGTCGACTCGCCAAAGAATGCTCGTCACTCAGCCGCTGATGCAACTCACGCGAGTCCTGTGTTCACGTTCTGAGATGGAAGGTAGGACGTGGAAACGATGACGATATTTTCCTAACCTTTATATTTTATCATCGATTTACCGAAGCTGATTTTTTTAACATTGATGTTTTGTGCTCGTTTGTATGTGGTAGACGTTTTATATTTTTTTTTAAAGTAATAAACAGCTGGCAATTTTCACACACCAGTAATTGAACATAATTTCAGAGCAAAGTGATCAAGCGTGAAGGGACTGAAAAGGAAAAGGAAATTTTTACTTTTTAGAACAGTATCAGGAGTTTTTTCCCAAACTGGAGGGATAGTTATTGAAAAAAAAACTGGCTTCAAGGGAAATGTTAAAAAACTAGTTTTTAAATTGTAAATAAACATTGAAGTGAATAATAATTACAAATAAAAATTGCTAGTTAATTTTTCGTCAATAAATGTCTTATTTTTGCATTGTTAAACCTGATAACAAAACTTTTCAGGCTTAATTACTATTACATATGACTAACCTTTTAGTTCAATCTCAACTATAATTCAATAAACACGATCACTGATAATTTAAGTTTCCCCGCACGGATATCAATTAAACCGTTTTGAATATCACGTTTAAAGTTGTTGTATTTTGAGCAACGATGCTTTGGAACATTGATGGCGATGACACATTCCTAACTGGAAGCTATTAGAGAAGTAAGAGCGAAAAATATCGTGCATCTTCAT